TATTCAGCCGATTCTCGATTCGGATCGCCGATTCGTCGATCCGAATCAATTTTTGAGGCGCCCGATCCTGGTTACCGATCCGTTTTTTAAACCATTGGTTTAAGGAAAAGGAAAGGAACAAGTGAGTACCTGTGTGGGTGAAAACATCTCCACATACCCATTATTTTTCTTTATAAACCAAAGAAAAAAGTTCACAAGGTTGCAACCCTATACTATTGAATAAGGTGCAACTAAAAAATTTCCTTGAAGAGAGCTTTGAGACCTTGGATAACCCTCTAATTAATCATCCTTTGATGTGTAGCTACCAAGAAAAAAAAAAAAAAAATCGGTCCTAATGGGATTATATACAATAAAATTATTTACCTTTGGTAAAAGGAGGTCAATTACTTACAATCGGTTGTGAATTGATAGCTTGAGTGTGCCACAAAGTTTGAAAAAAATTATTTTCAACTTTGAGCTTGGTCAATGAAATAAATGCAGCCACCCAATTTCATATTCAATGGTCAAGATTAATTGTGACTACCTTATACCAAAAATATTAAAAGCATACATTAAAAAAAAAAGGAGCCTAAATTTATTGAAATATTTGGGATTGTGAACTCACTTTTGTTTGGGCTTCCAGGCTTTTGCATGGGGACGTACAAGACCCAGCCCACGACGATGATGTTCGGATCCCCAACCAACTTGGCATTCAGCCGTTGGATCCTACCCACATCAGATCTCAGCGGTGTTGCGATCCCAACCAACGTATCAGATTGCTGCACAGTGTACGTTACCACCACGTCCTCCTCCAAACACCCGCACAAAACATAGAATTCCACCTCCGTCCCTTCGTTCTTCACCCCCCACACCTGCCCATCGAAAATTTCAGCCAAAATTTCGGAGAGGGCATTCTCGGGTCTCTGGAACCTCGCACGTGCGAAATAGCCTGTGGTTCCATTGAAGTTTTGGCAAGTGCAATTGGCTCGAATTAGGTAGTCCTGCGTGGGTCCACGCATTATGGGGGTTATTTGTGAGGGACTGATGGAGAAGAAGGGGGCTAATTGCTGTGGGGTCTGGTTCCTGTTAATGTGGTAGAGGAGAGAGAAACATGAGTTTTTGGTTTGTGGATTACATGAGAATGGGTACAAGAGGCTGCTGGGGTCTGCATGGGAGAGTGTTAGAGAGAGAGAGAGGAGGAGAAGGAGGAAGTTGCAGAGATGAGTTGCCATGAAAGAGTTGGTTGCAGTTCTTGATCTGATGGGTTTTTCTTGTTTAGGAAGGCAAGGCAGATCATTGGTAGTAGAGCTCATCTATGGAACAGTGTTTCTATTTTGTTTCCATTTGTAACCAATCCCAAGCTCTTTACACATCTCTCTGTCTAAAGGGTCCATTTGTGTTTCAAAAAAAAGGCATTTTAGTTTTTCTCAAGAGAGATGTCTTGTCTTCTCTTATGGGAGGGAGAGGAGAGAGCAGGTATGTACGTTGTTATTTCCGTCTTGTTTTTATTGTTTGGGATGGGAGTGAAGGTGGGGCGTGCCATTTGGTAACTTCCTCCTGTCTTGTCTTCACTATATTCATTCGATGAGGCTCAGCAAAATGACCCCTCCCTTTTTTTTTGCTATCCTCTCACATCTTTGGTTTGGGGCAATGACCTAAGCCCCCATTATATTCATAAGCAATTGTTTCGTGAGGGCTGAACTATATTTCTACAATATGCCGTCCAGAGATATAAAATATCCATCTAAAATATGGATGCAAATAGGCGATCCATCTAAAAACAATTGTTACAATGTCCCTATGGTGTCTGTGAGGTATGATGGTGAGGTTGATAGTTTCAAATAGGTGGTCTATCTAAAATGGAGCTTGGGGAAGAAAATGGTGAGGTTGATAGTTTCGATGTCCTTGTGGTATCTGTGAGGTATGATCTGTCTTGTGGATTTCTCTTTGGTGTGAGTTTCCCATTGTGGGCTCTTTCTCCCCACTATCGAATATATTTTTGGCTTGAGCGACTGGGCTAGAAGGGTTTGAGGCTTGCCTTATGCTCCATTGGTTAAAATTATGAGTGATAATAAGATTGTTTTTTTTCTGCGTACCAAGGAGGAAGCTTTGGTAGCTCTGGACAATCGTTTTGTTAGAGTACGTGAAAAGTTTTTGTCATTAGATTTTTGGAAACCTTCGTCTCATTTTTCTTTGAATTAGTATGTCTGGTATTCCTTTCCATGCTTGGACGGTGGATACTTTTTGTAAGGTGGCTAATTGTTAGGGGGAATTTTGTAATATTGATAAAGATTCCTTTGGTAGGGCTGATTTGAAATATGTTAGAGTCCATTTTTGGAAGCTTAGGGGGGCATCCATTCCCAAAGTGGTGAGACTAACAGTGGGCCAATCTCTGCCTAAGGCAGTTGTGCTTCCTCAAGCTGACGAGGGTTGGAAGGAGGTTCATTTCCGCCGCTCGGCTCTGGTGGTGGACGCTCAGGCTACCTCAAATTTTTTTTTCTGGCAGGCTTTCATTGGAATGTTCAGAACTGGAATAGTCAACTCTTTTTTAGGGGAGGCATTAAGGGTTTTCAAAATCATAAGAGATGGATTCCTGTGGAGCCTTTTGCGGATTGTTCGGCTGCCTTCCCGCCCGGCGTTTCCTTTGGAGGTGAGGGTCTAGGTTGCCAAGCTGATCGTTTGGGCCCACCACCATCACCTCCTCCTTTTTTCTGTAAAAATAATAACCAAGGCGGCGTATCTTTGTATGGGATATTCAAGGCATAACTTTTAGAGGAAAATAGACTTGTGGTAGCCTCCCCGACTTTTACACCGCCGTGTGCAGGCGGACCGCCTTCTTTCTCTTCCTCTCTCTTACCTTTTACAAGAGAGAAGGCGGCGACTGACTGCAAACAACAAAATTTCAGATGTTTTTTCTTCTCTACTTTGGTGGTGGCTTGTCATCGGCCTTACTCGACGTTGGCTCTACAAGCGTTGCTAGTGCTGTTGGGAAAGATGTACCCTCTGATGCATTGTCGTGCTGCTAGAAGGATCCGTTCTTCTCTGAGGCCATCCTTTGATCCTCTGGCTATTGACCATTTGGCTATTGTGTTGATTGATGAGGGTGAAGAACAAAATTTGTTGGAAGAAGGGGAATTTGCACTCGAAGCCCTTGAAGTCTTGGGTGCAGATGGGTATGCTCCTGAGGTTGATCGTCCGGATCTTGGCCTTGCTGTGGTGGAAATGGATGATCTTCCCCCCCTCAATGTCACCCTACAAGAGAATAAACCTCTTGTGCTTCATTTGGTTGCTGATATTCTAGTTAACTTGCCTGTTCAGGTGTATTCCAAGAAGGAGGTTCAGATGACCTGACATAAACAAGATCAGTTCTATTGTTTTTGACTATGGTGTGGACTTTAATGTCCCGATTGGGATGGTATTTCAAGAAATTCTCGGAAAGAAAAAGTTAGAAAAGATAGGAAAGGTTCGTAAGGAACAATCAGGTGCTCTGGAGAATACTCCTACTAATGCAGGGGGAAAGATAAAGATAAAAAGCAAAAGTGTGATTAAAGGCACGAGATCTTTTGGAAGATTGCAAGCTCGAGGAATTCTGCCTCTTAATGCTGTTGCGAGAGGATTCATCATCTCTGATGATCAGGTGATTGAAGTTAACTCGGATTCGTCGGCTGGAGATGGGGTTCTAGGTGAAAGCTTAGAGGAAGCGATGCTCCTGGAACATGCCTATTTTGGTTCGACTAGGGATGGCCTAGGTTCTTCCTTTGCTAACCTCTTTTAATGAATATTATCTCGTGGAATGTTAGAGGTCTGGGCGACCTCAAACGTAAGAAAGACGTCCACTTTTTGGTAACCAAGTTTAAACCTTATATACTTATTCTGCAGGAAACTAAACGTCCATGCCCCAATTTGTCTGGTGTTAGGGAAGTTTGTGGACCTGGTTCAGTTGACTTTGTGGGGATTGGTTCAATAAGAGCTTCTGGGGGATTGTGGATTCTTTAGGATCCTACAGTTTTACAGTCTTTTTGCATTGTGAAAAAAGTTAATTTTGTGTTCCTAGGTTTTCGGGGCTTTTTTCTGATTTTAAATGGGCATTGATGAAATGTTCATGGACCTCATGCTTTTGCTTAAAGATATCTTTATAAATGAGATGTCAAATGTCCTTAATACCTTTGAACGTCCAATTTGTTTAGGGGGGATTTTAATTTTACCAGGTGGCCAAAAGATAGTAACTATGGTGGGCTTGTCACATCTGCCATGCATCTTTTTAATAGGTTCATTGAGGCTCATGATTTGATAGATTTTCTTGTTTCAGGCACTGTCTTTACCTGGACTAATGGGAGTACTGTGAATATATCAATGTCTAAACTTTATAGATTTTTTGTTTGTGGAGAGTCGTCAGAATCCTTCCCTCTTGCTTCGGTTAAAGCCTTACCTAGGCTCTCCTCTGATCATACCCCTATTACACTTTGCTCTAAAATGGTCTGTATGAGACCTAAACCTTTCAGATTGGAAATTGGTTGGCTTAAGGAGAAGGATGTGGTTGACATTATAAAGAGCACTTGGGAGAACACTATCCCTTTTGGCTGTCTGGATTTCCAACTCCATAAGAAACTTTTAAATATTAAACACAAGCTTATTGCCTGGAAAAAAGAAAAAAGGTTCCATATTAGGGGTAAAGTTGAGGAAGTCCTTAGAAGTATTAAAGAGGTGGATGTCGTTGTGCAAAACTCTGGATGCTTGTCTGATGAGATGGTTATGGCAAGATGCTCTAGAACAAAAGAGTTGGAGGAGTTTAGAAGGGTATAGGAGGTGTACTGGAAGCAAAGGTCTAGAGTTAAATGGTTGAAGGAGGGGGATTTGAATATTAAGTTCTTCCATGTTATGGCTAATGCACGCACTCTTCAAAATGATGTCTCGGGACTGTTGCACCATGGAGTCGATCCTGAGGATAGTTTTGGGATGTCTAATGCTATCATTAGTTATTTCCAAAAAGCTTTCACCTCTAAGATTAATTTACCTCCATGTTCAATAGGGTGGGCTTCAGAGCTCTCACTTCAGATTTGGTTTCTTTTCTGGAGGGAGATGTCTCAATGGAAGAATTAAAAAGAGCGGTTAAGGCTCATGGGCCTAACAGATTTCCTCTGATTTTTTTCTATACTTTCTGGAATTTAATTAGTGGTGAGTTGTTGGAGATGGTCAGGGGCTTCTTCAGGAGAGGAGAACTTTTTAAAGGTATTAATTCTACATTTATTTTCCTTGTTCCTAAAAAGTCTATCATTGTTAACCTAGGTGATATTAGACCCATCAGCCTTCTGACGAGTTTGTATAAAATTGTGGCTAAGGGGCTTGCTGAACGGCTTAAGATGGTTTTGCCGTCCATTATTACAGGTCCACAATAAGCTTTTATTGAGGATAGACTGATATCTGATAACGTCTTTGTTGCACAAGAATGCATTCGTTCGAGAGTTTTGAGTGGTATTCTTGGAATTGTGATTAAGTTGGACAAGAAAAAATTTATGATATGGTTTAATGAAGTGTTATTTTAGAAATTATGAAGAATATGAGCTTTAGTGAGAAGTGGAGGAATTTGATTTTTGGATGTTTTTCATCTACACACTTTATCATTTTGTATAAAAGAAGCCCGACTGGATTTTTTAATGCCTCCAGGGGTCTTTGTCAAGGTGATCCTCGTTCCCCTTATCTTTTCACTATTTATGCAGAATGCTTCAGCTAGTTTGTTTGTAGTGTTGAATTTAAAGGGCATTTTGCTGACTTCCAATTACCAAATGAGGGACACTGTATTTTCCATTTACAATATCTTGATGATATGTTGCTCTTTTGTGAGGCTGAGGTGGACCAGGTTGTCAATATCGCTACATTTTGAAAATGTTGTGAAGCGACCTTAGGTCCGAAGGTAAACTTTGAGAATTAATTGTTGTGATTGGCATTAATTGTAATGAACATGTGGTCCTTGAAATTGCGGAGGTGTTGGAATCTAAGGTGGATCATTTCTCAATTACGT